ATAATATTTGAGTGTGACAGAGACAGGGGGAGGAGGGCGGTCTACTGTGGCAGCTGTGGAGGAGATAATCCCTCGCCTGGACCTGAGCCTCTCAAATGGAAAACTCCTACAACTATTGTGGCTCAATCAGATTAAAAAGACAAAAAAAAAATCTTCACACAGAGAGAGAGGGAGAGAAAAACAGAGACAGAGAGAGAGGGAAAGCACAATGTTGGCCCTGCTTTGAACACACACACAGAGCCCAGTCAGTCACAATGCTGTGGTTGTCTCTTCTCTGTATGGTTTAAAAAACTGCAAGCCAAGCGAATATTTTATTGTCATTGTCTGCTTCTCTTTCAGTTTTCAGCCACCGCACAGAACTGTTAGTATTTAGGTCAGATGTCACTTAAAGAGCTTGTAGAAAAGACAACTTTTTTCACTTTTTTATATGGTGTAGATTTTTACTAGAGATGCACCAATTGGGAAAACCAGGGCTGATATCAATCTTTGTAAATAACAATTTTGCCAAATCCGATACTGATGTTTGTTTCATTATTTCTGTTGGTGTAAGACTCCCACAATGCAACATTTTCTTTCATGTTTGACCATAAATACAGGTCGGGTGATTTCATTTGCCCAATAAAAAACCTCGTCTCTGAATAAGTAGTTAGGTTTATTAGATTTCAGCGTTAAATTGATTTTGCTCAACAAATAAACCTCGGCTCATGCTACATTATTTGCTGATGTGCAGATGTCTGTCAAGAGGGTCGATATCGGCCTAAACCGATGATAAACTGGTGCATTCCTAATTTTTGCACATAATTCTCCATTTAAAAAACACACTTTTTAATGATAAATATACAGGATTGAGATTTGTGTCTTGCCGACACAGTTTGTTGCAGACAACCGGCAATTGCATATGGATAAACCACCCGAGCATGGTCTGGGAAACACTGTGCTGAAAACTGTTCTCTACATTTTCTCACTGTTGTATCTCTACACTGGAGCCGCCAAATATCAACAATCTAGTTTAACTACTTTTAGTATTGTGCATGATTATTCCAGCTGCACAGAGCTGCACTAACATGGCTATGGACTCTTAGTTTCATCATCAGTCATAAGCAAAAAGCAACAAGCTGATGCTGCTGGTGTAAATGTAAGTTCATAACCTCATGTGGGCACTCATCTGGGTCAGTGTGCCTTTGTAGGTCACGGCTCTTAAAGGTCGGTTTGGTGTGTCAACACGCCGTCCCTTTTGTTTGTGTCTTGGCTCAGAAAAACGCCACATTGCCTGGCATAAACACAGTCCCCCTGTCTGCCCACAATATCTGCAAGTCCACTTTGTTACACATGCACACATCTCAACAGCTACTCCCCCACTCTTGATTATAACCTACTCACGTTCTCAGTCCAAGGCCACTCCCTGATCCTGTAATGCTGGTCTTGTGCGGGGTTAGCAGCTGGGGAAGGTCAGTGACAGCTGGCATTCTGCAGCCTCACTGGAGCAAGTAGACCCAGGCCACTTACACTACATGGGGGCCAATTTGACAGCTGTGATGGGTTGGGTCTGTGGGAAATGATGCATTAAATGGTGCGGAATAGGAGTTGTGATCAAGAAAATCGAGGGAAGAAGAGAAACATCTGAATATAATATGCATGGAGGTGTTTGAACAGAGTTTTTGTCTGATGGTATCTCCCCAGTGATGCTCCATTAAAGATTGCCTGCCCGCCTCAGTCACACAAAAAAAGATCTATGAATTATTCAGATGAGCAGTGATCAAAGACAGTAAAATAAATTGCCTTTAGCAGAGTTGACTCATGTAAAAATTCAGAGTATAACTGAGTCATTCTTCAGCACAGGATTCTGCATCAGAGAGGCGAGACTAATGCTCGTCCCCCTTGCTTTACTTTAAGCTCCTCCAAGAAGTGACGGCTTGTTCTCTGAAACTTTTGTTCAATCCTTCCCCCTCTGAGACTCTCAAAGAAGCTTTGACTTCTTTATGCAACATCATCACTCAAATAGAGATGACATAACTAACGGCTGTTGCTCAGTTTTTTTCTCTGAAATACTCGTGAAGATGGTGAAACGTGGAAGTGCGACAGAATTTCACATACATTCTATAAGAAGGGATATCATGCAACGCCCTTCCTCGTTCATTTTCAAATAATCTGCAAGTATTAAGTGACAGGGCGTTCACTGGAGAGGGCTATTTTTAAATTCAACATTTAAATGAATAATGAATGGAACAACAGTCTTGAGCATCTTTATTTCAGGATGAAGCAGCAGCTGCAGCACGAAGGTGAATTTCTCACTGCAGGATCTGCCTCTGTCAAGCACTAAGGCACAGTGTCCAGCTAGCGATTTTTCCGGGCAGAAAAGCGCTCGCTGTGCGCTTGGGAATGTTTTGCAACATAACGCTAGGTGGACATGGGGCCTGAGGTTGCCAAAATGTTTCTTACATTCTCACATCAGCTCACTTTGACGTTCTGCAGAATAAATACGAGGAGGCTGGAGGAGAAACTCCGGGTGCAGTGGCTGTCTACATTCACACATGCAGCTCCTCCTGGAACTATCAGGAGTTTTTCAGGGGTTTTCTGCAAGTGTGAAAGCCCTATTTAGGTGTTTGAGACTGATATTTTTGTCGGCGTGGTTTTGACACATGTATCCTTAAGGCAGGATTTGACTAGAATTGGGTCAAAGTTTGTAATTCTGGTATCTTTACAACCCTGATGAGCACAAACGTAGACAAAGTGGCTCATAAATACTGAGTCTGACACAGATTGTTGCAGTGCAGGTGTGTGTGGCCGGTGGTGCATCACGCTTTGTGGTCCATGAGTAACCTCACAGCTGTCTGTGTTTGACCTGCATCTTTGTGTTGTACACCTCAATGGCACAAACACATTATGTCCCTTTTTTTTTTTTTTTACTGATCAGATTCTTTCATTCAAAGCTATTTTAAAATATGTCTGCCTGCAGCTCTCCTTCTGCTGTGTCAAAATATTTACTGAGCAGTTATCTAACATGCAGCTCACGCGCCTTCTTCAGTCACAGGAAATTAAAGGAAACGGCTTAAAGCTAAATTTAGGAGGTTGCTTTCCATTGTTGATATTTTAAGTGGCACCAACCTAAACACCCTCTCTCTTCTTTCTCCCCCCCCTCTCAACAACAGGTATTAAATGAAGAGTGTGATCAGAACTGGTACAAGGCAGAGCTAAACGGGAAAGACGGCTTCATCCCCAAGAATTACATAGAGATGAAAGCTCATCCGTAAGTATTTCACATCCAAGAGTTTCTTTTCTGATGTTTTTTTTTAAATAGCATGTTTGTACACTTTATGCTGGTGTTTCTCAAATGAAGTACGCGTACCCCATAGAGAAGCTGCAGGCGTACATGAGATATGATGAAGTGGTGTTGTTGTCATGACCACACTAACTGAGACCAAGACATGACCGAGACCAGAGTGCTCCGAGACTGAGACATTTAGGGATCGAGACAGAGACAAGACCAAGTCCCAAAGGCAGGGCGAGACTGAGACAAGACCAAGACCATGAATATCATGAAAAAGTGGTCTCAAGACCGGTCTGAGTACTACAACACTACTAACAAGTTTGACTAAAACATGTGAATCTAGGATCAATTAATCCTAGATTCACATGTATGAACTAAATAAGAAGAAAGAGTAACATGAGGATTATGAGAGGAACACAGTCGATGCTATTGTTGTAGTCGTGTCTTAAAAATCTTCAGCTGTGTCAGTTTTTTTTAATTTCAGATGGTTAATGTGTTCCTCGGGTGCGTTCCTCTTACTGAGGAGGATGACTGTCCTCCATTTAACAGTTAAATGGTTGTTCCCTCCACAGGCTTTGTGTTTCTGTATTGGCAGAAATAAGCTGCCACGTGAAGCCACCACATTTTTCAGCTACATGTTGTTGTAAAATAAATAAGATACTGTATCATACCTTTTATTTAAAGGTATCTTTATAGGCATCAATTTTAACCAAATACAGTGGGTACGGAAAGTATTCAGACCCCTTTACATTTTTCACTCTTTGCTAAAATCAAAAAAGTTCATTTTATTTCTCATTAATGTACACTCAGCACCCCATCTTGACAGAAAAAAACAGAAATGTAGAAATTTTTGCAAATTTATTAAAAAAGAAAAACTGAAATATCACATGGTCATAAGTATTCAGACCCTTTGCTGTGACACTCATATTTAACTCACATGCTGTCCATTTCTTCTGATCCTCCTTAAGATGGTTCTGCTCCTTCATTGGAGTCCAGCTGTGTTTAATTAAACTGATTGGACTTGATTAGGAAAGGCACACACCTGTCTATATAAGACCTTACAGCTCACAGTGCATGTCAGAGCAAATGAGAATCATGAGGTCGAAGGAACTGCCCAAGGAGCTCAGAGACAGAATTGTGGCAAGGCACAGATCTGGCCAAGGTTACAAAAGAATTTCTGCAGCACTCAAGGTTCCTAAGAGCACAGTGGCCTCCATAATCCTTAAATGGAAGAAGTTTGGGACGACCAGAACTCTTCCTAGACCTGGCCGTCCAGCCAAACTGAGCGATCGTGGGAGAAGAGCCTTGGTGAGAGAGGTAAAGAAGAACCCAAAGATCACTGTGGCTGAGCTCCAGAGATGCAGTAGGGAGATGGGAGAAAGTTCCACAAAGTCAACTATCACTGCAGCCCTCCACCAGTCTGGGCTTTATGGCAGAGTGGCCCGACGGAAGCCTCTCCTCAGTGCAAGAAATATGAAAGCCTGCATAGAGTTTACCAAAAAACACATGAAGGACTCCCAGACTACAGAAGATCCTCTGGTCTGATGAGACCAAGATTGAACTTTTTGGCTTTCATTCTAAGCGGTATGTGTGGAGAAAACCAGGCACTGCTCATCACCTGCCCAATACAATCCCAACAGTGAAACATGGTGGTGGCAGCATCATGCTATGGGGTGTTTTTCAGCTGCAGGGACAGGACGACTGGTTGCAATTGAAGGAAAGATGAATGCGGCCAAGTACAGAGATATCGTGGAAGAAAACCTCTTCCAGAGTGCTCAGGACCTCAGACTGGGCCGAAGGTTCACCTTCCAACAAGACAATGACCCTAAGCACACAGCTAAAATAACAAAGGAGTGGCTTCGGAACAACTCTGTGACCATTCTTGACTGGCCCAGCCAGAGCCCTGACCTAAACCCAATTGAGCATCTCTGGAGAGACCTGAAAATGGCTGTCCACCAATGTTCATCATCCAACCTAACAGAACTGGAGAGGATCTGCAAGGAAGAATGGCAGAGGATCCCCAAATCCAGGTGTGAAAAACTTGTTGCATCATTCCCAAGAAGACTCATGGCTGTACTAGCTCAAAAGGGTGATTCTACTCAATACTGAGCAAAGGGTCTGAATACTTAGGACCATGTGATATTTCAGTTTTTCTTTGTTAATAAATTAGCAAACATTTCTACATTTCTGTTTTTTTTCTGTGAAGATGGGGTGCTGAGTGTACATTAATGAGAAATAAAATGAACTTTATTGATTTTAGCAAATGGCTGCAATGAAACAAAGAGTGAAAAATGTAAAGGTGTCTGAATACTTTCCGTACCCACTGTATATGCAAAATGGGGGCTGCACAGTGCTGCAGTGGTTAGCTCTGTTACCTCACAGCGAGGAGGTTCCTGGTTTGAATCCCCGTCTGACAGGAGTCTGCATGTTCTCCTCGTGCATGTGTGGGTTCTCTCCGGGTATTCCAACTTCCTCCCACAGTCCAAAGACATGCTCGTTAGGTTAACTGGTGATTCTTTAATTTCCTGTAGGTGTGAATGTGAGTGTGTCTGGTTGTCTGCTCTGTGATTGGCTTGCGAACAGTCCAGGGTGTAACCCCGCCTCTCGCCCAATGACAGCTCGGATCGGCTCCAGCCTTCCGTGTCACTGAACGGGGTAAAGCGGTGTAGATGTGTAGATGATGGATGGATGGATGGATGGATGCAAATGATCTGTGAGAACTTGACTGATTGGGAGTCTTAAATGAAAACGTTTAAGAACCACAGTGATGTCATACATGACGTTCTGCTGTTACCTGTCGAATAGATCGTGTGTGTGTGTGTGTGTGTGTGTGTGTGTGTGTGTGTGTGTGTGTGTGTCCGTGTGTCTGTCCACTTCAGAGAACACTTGACAGGATCCTTAGAGGACGTTACCTCTGGACCGGCGCTCAGTGCCAGATTAGCTCTCTTTATTAGCGTCCTCGAGGCCTCTTACACTTAATTGCATATTGACCTTATTGCATTGTTGCAGGGTTGCTATCAGATGTTCCTTTCTGCAGGAGGGAGGTCACTGCATTGGTAGCAACAATCCTCCAGGGTGTAGAGCCTTTTATGGTTATGGGGAATCAATATGAAGCTGTACCTCCTCATGCAGTTCTAACACTGAACCTCTTATTATTATTATTATCTCTCGAATGATTGCCCCCGGGGGGGTTAGCAGTTTTTATATTCCTTCTTGCAAAGTTTAATGTTTTTTTGCCAATCAGACTCAAAGCTGATCATTTGCTCTTACTCACATTGTTCCCTTTTTTCTAGATCCTTGCTTGTGTTGTTCTTACTCTCTGATGTACGTCACTTTGGAGAAAAGAGTCTGATAAGTGAATTGTAGAAGTATATATACAAAGAGACAGGAAGCATATACCATCAACTTTAGCATAGCATCCTCCAAATCCTTATTTTCTTTTTGGATTGTCTGCCTTAAGTACAAAACAAAATGGTGGAATAATCATTATTAAGAAACTCTTGAAATCACTCACTATTCAGTGTTGTCTGAATTCTGAGTGCAAGCACAGGAGTAGAACAGGAGGGACAATTTCCAACATGGCTGCATGTGCTAACTAAGGCTTTCAAGAGTTGCAAATAAACCTCTTCAGTGGTCTGTGTTTGGTTTCATCATGTTCCACTGTCCACTTGAAGTCCTGTTGAACAGCAGCAGAACTTTTTATTCCAGCATCACAAACATGATCAAGTGTGTTGCTCATAACAGCAGCCTTCAATAAAATCCTGTTTGTGCAGAATATGAGACATGATTCTCTGATTCAGAACGATGAAGCTGAAAAATAGTTTCACATCTTTTCACTGTTTGTTGAATATACACGACTGCACGGTTCAGATTAACTGTAAACTTGTTATTGAAGAAACTGCACAGCCCAATAAATCAGCTGTGACTGGACGATGAAGCTGCAGGAGTTTGCTTCTGTCTCCCGTTGTGCTGACAATGAAGTGCCACCTGACAGCACCATGAACACACAGCACACACACACACACACACACACACACACACACACACACAGCAGAGACACACACACACACATACAGCAGAGACACACACACACACACACACACACACACATACAGCAGAGACACACACACACACACATACAGCACACACATACATACAGCAGAGACACACACACACATACAGCAGAGACACACACACACATACACACACATACAGCAGAGACACACACACACACACACACACACACACACACACACACACATACAGCACACACACACACATACAGCAGAGACACACACACACACACATACATACAGCAGAGACACACACACACACACATACAGCAGACACACACACACACATACAGCACACACACACACATACAGCAGAGACACACACACACACACACATACAGCAGAGACACACACACACACACATACATACAGCAGAGACACACACACATACAGCAGAGACACACACACACACACATACATACAGCAGAGACACACACACACACACATACAGCAGACATACACACACACACAAGTCCTTTTTGTTTGTACACATCTTACACCCCACACTGAAGTGTTGTTGTGGTCAACACTTAGCTTTTAGAAATGAGAGTGTGTGTGTGTGTGTGTGTGTGTGTGTGTGTGTGTGTGTGTGTGTGTGTGTGTGTGTGTGTGTGTGTGTGTGTGTGTGTGTGTGTGTGTGTGTGTGTGTGTGTGTGTGTATCAACAGTTAGCCATTTCATTATTGATTTTCACCTTGGTGTAAAGGAGCCAAGATGTCATCTTTTGGCTGACTGTACTTTTTAATTATTTACACACGTAAAGAGCTTTCGCTGGCTTTGTCTCTCCCCCTCTCCATCCATCTTTATCACTCTCACTTATTCCCTCTGTCAGGACTTTCTCAGAGTCATACATTAGTCAAATGTGTTTCTGCTTAAAATACATTAATGCCACTTATCTGTGTTCACATGTTTTTAAATCTCAAATAGATTCGACTGCTTTTTAAGAGGTTGAAAACACAGATGCTCCTGTGTGCCAGTTGAACATTTAACGGTTAGGATGATGATGATTATTTTTGTTATGTTTGCTTTGCCTCTATAATTAGTTAATGACTAATCTACTTCCTTGTTTAAAGTTGTCCTCACTTCCTGGTGTGTTGTTTCTCTTGGTGGCGGGAGGGAGATGCTCTCATTGGGTCCAAAAAAGCCCCAAGAGTAAATCTTAATATTTATATTTCCTGGTTGTCAAAAAGTTTGATACTTGAATACGATCCCGTCTCCTTTTTTTCGAGGACTTTGTGTTACCATGGTATCCAAACAGGTGTGGATCATCTGATTGATCTCAAAGTTTAAGCGTCTGGTGTCCTATAAATGGAGCTCATGTTGTGTCCCCACTGGGCAGCTCGGTGGCTTAGTGGTTAGCACGGTCATCTCACATCTGACTGCAGAGACAGGAGGTGTGATCTTTGCATGCTCACACACAGTCCTCTGCAGCTTCCTCCCTCTGGCCACAGAATCACAGATTAGCTCAACTGAAACTCTAAAAAATGTTCAAAGGTGTGAATAAAAATGTAAAAGTGGAAGGTGTATCCCGCCTCAGCACAAAAAGCTGTTCATAAATGTTGAGCGGTATCAGGCAGCTTTGGGCCTCCATTACATTCACAAAGAAATGGTTTTTAATTAAGATAACATTAAGAGGGGAGCCAGTGGCCTAGTGGTCAGTGTGTGCACCCCATGTACGTAGACTAAAGTTGACCAAGTGGGCGGCTTGGGTTTGAATCCGACCTGTAGCTTCTTTCCCGCATGTCATTCCATAATCTCTCTCTCTACCCCCGATTTCTGACTCTGTCCGCTGTCCTCGCTCTAAAATAAAGGCATATAAAGCGTTTCAGTTATCGACTCATGGGCTTTTATTTTGAAATAACATAAGGACCTTCTGGTAGATCGAATGTTATGAGCCTCAAAGTCTGTGAGTGTGCAGATTCTATGATTCCAGTCAAAGCAGGAAGAAAAAGGTTGCTTTGGGACGTCTGAGTCATTTCTAACTCGTATCTGTTTTCTGCACTCCCTCAGGTGGTTCTTCGGGAAGATTCCTCGGGCCAAAGCGGAGGAGATGCTCAACAAACAGAGGCACGACGGAGCCTTCCTCATCAGAGAGAGCGAGAGTGCACCAGGAGACTTCTCCCTCTCTGTGAAGTAAGCAGCTCCACACCGATGCACCACACAGAACATGATTCACTCTCACACTTGTTGTCTATAAATACAGTCCAACATTATCCTTGTATCAGAGCACGGCTCCCCTGTGACTGAGCAGGTTCACAAGTTTCCATACCCGGTGTATCTGAGTCATCAGTGCAGCCTCTTCCTTATTCCTGTGGAGTCTCGCTGCCGCCCTCTGCTGTTCTTCCTGATATCATCGTTTGTGCTCTTTGGACGTCAGCTCTGAGTTCCTGTTTTAGCTGACACGCACAAGACTCATTTCCTCTTATCTGACTCTCCCAAAAGTGTCCACAGTTCACGGCCGTTTAACATGTAAAGTAACTGTGGGTCCTAATAACTCTGTGACCGTCCTGATTTCTCTTAGTCAAATGAATCAGCCGGTAACAGTCTGACAGTCAGTGCAGGCTGACTAACAGTCTGCTATGGACACGCCTCGAGCACTAGATAAGTGGACTTATTGTCTGACTTTCAAGCTTCATTTGCCTACAAAATAACCTTTTTTTAAACTCCTCTTTCATCTCCTTTACGAGAGAGAATGAACACAAATACCCTAAACTAAAAAAACAGCACAACATTAAATTAAAGACACAAAAAGCAGCCCTACTAACACTCAAGTCTGTTCATCTGTCAGTTCCTCATTTTGTGTTCAAAGAGTCTTAAAAACATTTTCCAGAACTTGCCACATTTGTTTTTGTAGATCAGCTGATCTTTTTAAGAGAAAAGTAAGAAGTGATTCCCTTCAACTACTGGAAGTTAAACAAGTCGTCAGCTGCTTCCACGAGAAGGCAGTGCAGCGTTTAGCCTCCAGAAAGGCGGGCACGCTGCACCATGGGAAATTTTAAATCATCGGAAAGAGATTAAAACTCTAGTGGCTAAATGAAGGTGCTCGTCCAGTCGATGATATCTGGATGGGTTTTGTTTTGCTTCTACCGAGAGGAAACCTCCATAGTTGAAAAATGAACCTGATGCTGAAGTGTGAAATCCTGCAGTTCCTGGAGTGTCCACTAGAGGCTGGCTGCAGAAGCACAGGAAGTCACATACACACCCGTTCTAAAAAAGCCTGTTGAAGAGGAACCTCTTCACCAATAAATAAATTACTCAGATCCAAAAAAAGATCTTTGAAAACCTTTCATACTCTTAATCTTTTGTTGAAGACCCCCTCCTCTCCTCTCCTCTCCCCTCCCCTCCTCTCCTCTCCTCTCCTCTCCTCTCCTCTCCTCTCCTCTCACCTTTTCTCTCTTTTTGACCTCGTCCAGGTTTGGAAACGACGTCCAGCACTTCAAGGTTCTCCGCGACGGCGCCGGAAAGTATTTCCTGTGGGTGGTGAAGTTTAACTCCCTCAACGAGCTGGTGGACTACCACCGCTCCACCTCGGTCTCTCGCAATCAGCAAATCTTCCTGCGAGACATCGAGCAGGTCCCCCAGGTAAGAACGGACACACAGGATTAATCGTGATGAAGTCGTTATGTCACATGGCTGATTGGTCTCGTGTCATTCAGGCGTCTTCACGGCGCCCTGCTCAACCCGCTAACACGTCTCCTCTGTCTCCTGGTTTCACAGCATCCAACATACGTGCAGGCGCTCTTTGACTTCGACCCGCAGGAGGAAGGGGAGCTGGGTTTCCGACGCGGCGACTTCATCCAAGTTTTGGACAACTCTGACCCCAACTGGTGGAAAGGAGGCTGCCACGGGCAAACGGGCATGTTCCCCCGCAACTACGTCACGCCTGTCAACCGGAACATGTAAACAGACCATTCAAACAACAACAACAACAACAACAACAACAACCACAACAGCAACCACCACCACCACCACCACCATCATCATCCTTCTCGATCTCATCAGCCCCCATCCAACCCTCCAAAAAAAACTAAAAAAAACACACCACCCCTCCACCCTCCTCGCCATCCCGCGATAACAGGAGCAGACAGGAAGAAGGCGAACAACCGAAAGAGGTAAAGCAGGAGTAGTGCTGTCGTAGGCGTCGCTGTGTGGGTGGCAGCTGAAGCAAAAAAAAAAAAATCAACTCTTACCTGCGCTGAGAGCGTTCACCTCGCCAGTGAAACGCCTCGGCGAGGATTGAACCGTCTTTGAGGGAAATCTAAAAATGCAGAGAAACTAAAGAGTAGTGCAACCAAGCGTGAAGATAACCAAATGATTCTACCGCTCCCCACAGCTGCTTCTCTCCTCTCCCTAACTTCTTAACATTCTGCCTTTTCTTTTGTCTTTTTTTGTTTTTCTTCTTTGCCGCATGTTGTTTTTTAATCACCTAAATGATGAAATGCCTACCGATAAATCCTAACTCTGTTTTAAAGAAAAAAAAAAGTTAAAATATGAAAAAAAAGAAGAAGAAGAAATGGTTAAAAAAAAAAATGTACAAAAAAGACGAGAGAGAGGAAAACATGATGCAATCTACCGTACAGCGAGTTTCCATGAGATCTTTGAACACGTGAGCAGTGTACATCGGCCGCCGGCTGTATAAATAAATCAACTATAGAGAGAATCCATTTTTAAGAATATATATTATATATTTGTATGTGTTTGTCTGTTTTACCTCTCATCACAAATTGTATTTTTTTCCATTTGTAAATTATGTTCAATCTTTCAGTCAGTCTGGATGCGACCTCGTAGCTCTACGACGTTGCTCTTTTTGTTTTTCCTTTCTGAATCGATCTGAGGGCTCTCGGATAAAAAAATGAATAAAAGATAAAAAACAGCGTGAAATTTAAGGGGGTCATCAAAAAAAGTTCCATTGGAAGAGGTTTCTCTTGTGGTTAATGCGAGGAAAAGTAGTTTAGTTCTCCGAGAGGAAGCTAAACGTGTCCCGGAGCTCAAGTTGACCAGCGAGTCGAGAGCGAGAGCCGCCTTCCTTCCAAGCCAATGTATTTATTGCAGCCATTTTCTTCTGGGGCGGTGAATGTAGCCGACTGAGTCCACAGACGTGACCATGAGGGAAGCGAGGTCGGAGAACTGAACTACACAACCATGCAAGGATTTTTAAACCAACAAGACATGCTGAGACAAACGTCATGTTTCTAAAGAGAGAGAGAGACGTGTGAGGATATGTACGGGTAGTCGACGGCGTGCATATTCACAGAAACCTTTCATTACATGCATGCATACGCAGACGCTCTCCTCCTTGTTATACCTGCACGTAGCAACGAGGCCGAGTTTGGATAATCACTTTGTGTAATCACCGGTGCAGATCTGCAGCTGGCACAGATGAACAGTTCAGAAAAACTGAGAGATTGTCTTTTATGCTAAAAGTCGAGATCAGCGTTAATTATGTAAAGTTGTTTTTTTTTTTTTTTTTTCTCGTCCTTCTGTTTTGTGTCCAATGTGGCGTGAGGTCAAGCACTTTTTTTTGTCAAACATTTTGATTTTCTGGTCCCGTGCGTGCGTGCGTGTTTACCGTGTCTGTGTTTATTTTATTTTCCTTCCAGTTTGTGTTTTCTTGTTCTCTCTGGATAGTGCCTTTCTCTCTGGTGTTTCAGTGTCTCCGACCTGCTACTTTGAGCCCCCCCCTCCTCCCTTTAATGGGGCCCTGCCAGTCCTGCAGTGAGAAACAGTGTACATAATCCAACCTGCCCCCCCTTCCCCCTCAGCGCCCCCCTCCTCCATCACCCCGCCTTCACCTTTATCCTCACCAACATGGAACTCTTCTTATTTAAGTGTCTCTTGCCTCGTCTTACCTAATGATACTGTTTTGTTTTTTGCTCTTTTTTTATTTGCATTTGTTTTTTTGTTTTTTCAATTAATAAAATGCAATTATTAAAAAAATTATTCATTTTGTGTCGTCTGTTTTCGTAGAATCATAACCCCCCCCCCCCCCCTCCCGAGCAGTGATTCTCTCACTCAGTTCATCATGTTCAGCAGATTCTCCACGTGGGGGAAGCTGTTTGAGCGGTGATCCGGGCGCATCAACCGGCACTCTCAAAGTCCAGCTCCTTTGACTTATGTGAGTGCTCCGTCCTTGGTCCTGGCCCGGTTGGAGGAGGTGGACTTCAGCACGCTGCAGCTGTTCATGCATGAGAACAGACCCTGTCCCAGATGTGTGGAGTCTGGTGTGTGGGATGGACTACATGGTCCAGGGTCCGAGGACCGGAGGGTTTCAGGATGAGTGCAAAGAGGGCTTGATAAGTGAGGAGGAGGATTTTCTGTTGGATTCTGGATCTAATTGGGAGCCGGTGCAGGTGGATTTGTGGGCCCGGTCTCTTGTGTTTGTAGTACTTTAAATCAGTCTTGTTCTCGTCTGGGAATCTAAAGGCATTTTTACTCTGCCTTGTCTCGGTCTCAGACTGGGAGGACTAAAGATTTTAAATCAAGACCACCACTGATTGGCTATTTTTCAGTGATTTTGGTCTTGGTCTTGTCTCGGTCCCTAGATCTAGATGTCTTGGGTGCTCTCTGGTCTTGGTCTCGGTTATTGTGGTCATTTGAGCTGAGGAAGCAGTGAAGAGGAAGTTGATGTTATTTCTTGAAGAGCAGCAGCTCACTGAGATCTTTAACATCACGTTAGCCTCGGTCTGCTGCACCGTCTGCTCCACATTTGGACTTTTTAGCACTCACAGAAACACTTTAGCTCTCCTCAGTAATCTGCTGCCACTCTGCCTCCGTTTCTGTCACCGTCGGCCTTCAAGCGTAACATCAGCGTCACTGTCACTACCCCGGCCCTCTCATCCAGAATATATTCCAGTTTTTAAAAGCATCAGCAGCCCCGGTGCTCATATTCACTATGGAATGATTCTTCCCCGTTGATCACTGGCAGAAAAGGCAGATGTCTAAATAAAATAAAAGGAGGTTTCTGCTGTAGACGATGTAAACAGTTTTAGATAACACGTCTCTAATGATAGTGGAAGTGATTAGATGACCTCTGCCCCGGGGGTTTGGCCTCTCACGCTTGATGAAGCGGTCTGCCATATGCTGCTGCTATGATAGTGGACTAAAGCTGTGACAGAGGTCAGAGCCGCTCTGCGCTTTGTTTCGACATGAGAAGATGATGATGTGAGGATTTGCAGGGGAGGAGTAAACATTGTGATGCAGAGTGGAGAAGATTAGAATCAGTGTGTGAGCAAGCGACCTGTTTGTGGTCGGTTATTTCAGGTCAGACTCATGACTTTGACTTTTATGGCAAGATGCAGCGTGAGCACACTTTGATGATTTGATTGGTCTTAGGGAAATGCATCTGCAGGAGAATGTAGTGCTGGTTTAAAAAATGGCGCTTTTGATTGCTTTGCATCAACTACAAAAAAAACGCTGCTTCCTTGGGCAGGGCAAGAGAGGTGACCAATCAGACTCCAGGGGACAGACAGTGCCGCCATTATCAAGGTTGCATTTTGGAGGTATTCTGTATGTAGTCACCACTGGACAGTTAAGGCGTTTTCACACATGCACTCCGGACATTTCTAGATTATTTCAGGAGGACTGCCCCCCAAAATCCTCCTGATCTGGTTGTTCACACATGCACTCCAGACATTTCTAAATCCTCCTGATCTGGTTGTTC